GCTGCCAGAGCCGCTCTAGGCCGACCGGACGCGTCCGATCACACTGGACCGAACGCGGGAGACGCAGCGTTCGGTTGAGTCAAGAGAGCTCCTAGAGACGCTTTGGGCCAACCGGATGTCTCCGATAACACCGGACCAGACGCTCCTAGCGTCCGATGAATTATTGCGCTGAAAACCCAAGACTTGCTGCTTCACACGGGACGCGTCCGGTGTGGCGACCGGACGCGTCCGGTCGCTCTATGCAATCCTTTATAGGGCTATATCACTTTGACCTGACGCTGAATAGTAACTCATCAACGTCCGGTCACTCCACTGAGCTAGAGTCTGGTCACTTTCACTTAGTCGTTCACCTCGGGTCCAAATATCGAACGCGTTTGGTCCTGATTCCGGACGTGTCCGGTCACTTCTGTCTGACTACCCAAAGTTTGGATAAAATACCGGACGTGTCCGGTCACTCTGTGACCAGCGCGACTAACTTGTTTTCAACTGTATCTTCTTTACCCTTACTCAAATATGCCAACCACCAAGTGTATCACCTTGTGCACATGTGCTAGCATATTTTTACAAATGTTTTCAAGGGTGTTAGCACTCCACTAGATCCTAAATGCATATGCGGAGTTAGAGCATCTAGTGGCACTTTGATAACCGCATTTCAATACGAGTTTCACCCCTCTTAATAGTACGGCTATCGATCCTAAATGTGATCACACTCACTAAGTGTTTCGATCACCAAAACGAAAAAGCTCCTATCAAATTTTACCTTTGCCTTAAACTTTTTATTTTTCTCTTTCTTCTTTTCCAAGTCTAAGCATTTAATCATCATCATGCAATCACTATCATCATGATTTTCACCATTGCTTCATCACTTGGAGTAGTGCTACCTATCTCATAATCACTTTGATAAACTAGGTTAGCACTTAGGGTTTCATTAATTCACAAAAACCAAATTAGAGCTTTCAGCTGTTTAATTATCACACTCTGAACTCTGGTATTGAAATAAATAATCTTCCAAGACTCCATGTTGTATGAAATGGACTAAGTATTGTAACCTCGTACTCATTATTGGATTCTGGATGTAAAACGTGGATTGTTTCGAGTTCTTCCTAGGGGTGTGCTCGACGGAACTGTCCGTTTTAGCTCACTTTTGAGGTGCTTAGTGTATAGTGGAAGACAAGTGCCTCTAAAAATGTGTTATCTCAGACGGTTATGCCATAATTCGTATCTTCAAATAAATTTATTATGAAAATAGGTTCAACGATCTATTTAATATTATTAATTTTGTATCATAAATATTAATATTTTATATAAATTTGGTCAAAGTTATTTTTTATAAGCGAGAACCACATTTAATAAGGACGGAGGGAGTGCACACATGCATTTACCATAATGAGTGCCTCAAATATGAATGCGAAGACTATGCGAAGAGTGCGGTCTCACTTCTCGTTCAAAAATAATATATAATTATAAAATTTGTGCTAGTGAAACAGGCTTAAGTTTAATCGAATTTATATAAATAATGTTAACAACTATGTCTCCAAATATGTTTGTTATAAGGACCTGTTCAGCATCGATCTTCATCCACACTAGGGCTCCGTTCGACTAGCTGAATTTTGGCTGAAACTGGTTGAAAAACACTGTTCTTGTTGAATTGTTGTGAGAGAAAAATATTGACATTGTTCTGGCTGAAAAAAGAAGCCGAACAAACCGGATATGGAGTAAACCGGATATGAGTAGTCTAAGGCCTTGTTCGGTATGACTCTTGAGGGCTCCAGATCCTTCAAATTATTAGTGTTACACTTTGTGTTGCTGTAGCAAGAAGCCGTTTTAATTTTCAAGTCAATAAAAAATAAGGTGGAGAAGCAAATGGAGTCATGATTTCTAGCTTCACATGCTCTAGCCCCACCATACTACAACAGTGCGTGGAGTGAACAGCCGGGAGCTTCGCCAAACAGCCTCTAAACAGAAAAGAACGTATTAAGATCATATAGCAAGTCATGTTAATTAAGGTGATTTGATTTAGGAATAAAACCTCGGTGAGACATCCTGTGTGATTCCCACAATTGACTGGGGGCGAGCGAGTTTCCTCAGCTACGATTTCACCCATCCCACCTTTTGCAATTATATCTATGTTAAAATCTACTAGAGTCTAGTCTGTTTAATAGGATTTTAGAATTTTGAGATTTTTTTTCATCTAGATTCCAAATGGCTGTATACTTGTATGCTGCTAGACTGTGTTCATTTAATCATCCATTTAGCTGTTTAGCCTAAATAATAAGTAACTGACATTGTTTATGTTAACATCGTCGGTGAGCTATCGAAGCAAAAAAAAAAAAAAATCCCTTCATATAGAAATGACAGCTGTATCTGATCATAGGAAAAGTCGTACAAACGAGATTTTGACCAATAACTTCTCTTACAGGATGTAATCAATTGTTAAAGAAATCAATATCGTCTTAGAGCCACTTTGAACATAAATCTATTGATGTAAGTTTCATACTCTAAACTTGCACATAATTTAACCAATTGTTGATCAAACTTTGTAAAATTTCATTTCTCCTCTAGTTAAACACACCATTCTCCTAATTTATTTTGAGACACAGTACAGCTAACAATGACTTAGCTATATACATGGACCGTAGCTACGTATATACAATACTTAGAATAAGTGCACTTCTGGCTTTCGTCTCAGAATAAATGCACTTCTAGCATTCAAATTTTGTCCCACATTAAGTGCACATACATAGAGGTGTGAAACCACCCAGTTTAAGTCGGCAATGCAATTATTAGAGTATCTCCAATAATTCCCAATAATTTCTTTCTAAAATCATAGAGTTTCCAACTCGCCAAAAAATATTGAGAGAAATAAAAGATCATCTCCAATAGTTTTCAATAACTCACTCCTAAAATATAGAAGACAATTTTACATCAGAAATCCTATATTATATCCAATATCTAAATTATCCTAACCACTTTTATATATATCTCGTGTACATTTGCATCAAGAACCTTTTTCTACTCTTTATTCTTTTCCTGCCCTTCCACTTTTAGATTGCCTAAAGTATACGGGCCTTTGATCGCTGCGGGAGAAGATACGCGTGACCTGGAGTCTGCGCATCTTTACGTGCAAGGGTTTTTTCCCACGTGCCAAAAGATTAGAAGGTGAGTTTGGAAGTTGTTGGAGATATATTTTTTTCATTCTTCCCAAAAAATCATGGATTGGAAAGGATTATTAGGTACTCTTGAAAATGCTCTTACATGCTCCACCACCGTTTCATACGGATATGGTTTGGAAATTAGGCATTTTCATATTTAATTTAATCCTGAATTTAATCTAGAAAAATAGCAATAAAATTTTGTGACAACAAATATGTGCACGTGTGAACTACTAGTGGCAACTATGATGAACATATCGATCGTGTTTAAGGGCACAAAAACCTTCCTGAACTTAGAAATAGCGAAAATTAGAAGTATACCCAGCGGAGGGACCCATACTCAAGGCACTGGTGGCTCCACTCACAAGAGTCAACATCGTGTGTTGCTCGAAGTAGTGGATCTCAGTCGGCGCAGGAAGATGTTCACGGTGCAGACCCTCGAACGTTCACCGGAATGAAGAGGAAGAAGACGACCCGATCAACAGCACCACCCGGAAGAAGATCATATCAGCGAGTAGTCGTGACGACGCTCCCCAAAATCTGATCGCTCGCACACCCGAGCAGGTGTCATATATGCTGACGGCGGTTCCGGAGGTCTACTCTCCCAACTCTCCGTGCGCACAGAAAGGATTGAGACGGGGAAAACTCGGGAACAACTCAATAGAAGAGCAATGATGTTGTGTATTGTGTCGCGCATTCGTGTAGTTGAAAGCGAGCACACATTACTTATAGACACGGAAGATGGAAGTTGAAGTGCAGAGGAAGAATCTGGACGTCATGAGATACTCATCAATTACTAATAACCACTGATATGAGTATGGGAGTTATCAGTAACTATAGCCGTAACCATGGGAGTTACTATTAATTGGAGCCAGCATAATCATATGAGTTACTAGTAACCGCATCCATAAACATGACCGTTACAAGTTCATCCATCAACTACATTCGGTCTGTCATTTTATTGCAACTAGCATCTAATATGACCTTAGAATTTATTTGATTTAACTATTAAATAAAATATGGGTCATGCTCACATTAAATCTAACAGATATAAATATAATTTTACTATTAGCATTGAGACTTCCAAACAATTAGAGAAGTGCATTTGCTTTAAAAGGAGGGGAGTAATATATATACTCTTATAAAGCTAAATCTCACTAGATGATTTTTCTCTTCAGGTAAGTTGTCTACATCATTAAGTGACTCCACTAGATGTTCTATCTTTTCATACAAGGTGTCCACATCATTTCCCACTAAGCTCATGTTATCCCTCATTGATTACAAAAAATAATGTCCACGCCATCTTATCATGTGCAATTTTAATCTTTAATGTATTAACATACAAGTCAGCTACATACGCTATTTATTTCGTCACCTATTCCTATATAATATAGTCAAATATTCTATTGATTTTTCTACTATTAGCTTATCGATTTTTTATCCGATCTGATATAATAAAATAACATGCAAGTCAAATTCATATATATACACAATATATAAAATACAATATAAGTAATGATATGTATATAAAAAAATTATTTCTAAAAGAATCACGTAGCCACGGGGTATGCTTCTAGTGCAGTATATAAAAGAGCAAGCCGATCGAAATTCCACAAAATAGGACCTCCATCAACTTGGAATCATCAGTCATGATACGTCCCCTCCGGGGGTAGAACATCTCGCGATTGAACTAGAAACAAAGCAAACATCAACGGCCGAGCACGCTTCACAAACATATATGAACCAATATGCTAAGTTTAGCGTCTGAAGGCCAGATACATGAGGTCCATCTAACCAAGCGCCGGCACGCCAAAAATCCGATGGCACCTATCCGATGCCACGCGCTACTTACTGTGCTCCGCCGCCGTCCGCCGGCACGACGAGCTGCTCCGGGTCGAGGTGCGGGTACCGGCGCAGCACGGCACGTTTCATATCCTCCATACCCTTCTCGTACCCGGCCAGTGCATGCTCGGCGAATCGGTTCACCTGCTCCGTGCAGCCCCGGAACTCGAGCACCGCAGCCTCCGCGGCGCTCCTCAGCTCCTCCGCGGCCGCCTTCTTCGCGCCGGCGAGCTCGGCCTTGGCCTGGGACAGCTCCTGCCGCAGCGCGTCCGCCTCGCGCTCCCTCGCCGCGAGCTTCTCCTCGAGCTCCAGCGCGTAGCCCAGCGAGAACGACGCGTAGTTCGCGGCCTGCGCGCGCGTCGCCCACGACCACGACAAGAGAGCGGGTTAGAATGACACATGCACGAAACGAGTCGCAATGGACTAAAGCGAAAAGAAAAACCTGTAGCGCTGTCATGTAGCTCGAGGCGATGACGTCGGAGGGCTTCGCCGCCGAGAACGTCTGCTCTAGCGCCGGCGTGACGATGCTCTGCAGCATCTGCCGTGTGCTCTCCCAGTCGGAGGTGCCGTCAGGCTCACGGGTAATCTTCGATGACTTGTGGGTGGAGAAGCCCGGCGGGAAAGGTGACACGCCAGACAGCGAGCCTTGGGCATGACCATGTGGCGTGCTCGGCTCAGGGCGCGACGGACCCTGCTTCGCGGCGTCCTCCGTCACCTTCCTCTTCTTCCCGGACAGCGGCGTATCGCTGTCAGGCTCACTCTTCACCGTAACTCCCGACGCCTGCGCGGCCTTTGCCGCCCTCAGATTCTTCATCACGTCGTAGACGCAAGGGTCCATTCCTGTCATGCATCCACAGCAATAGCCCCCTTAGGGCTTTTTTGAAACAAGAGGGGGCAAAACTCAGGGACGAAAAATTCTTCACTAATAACTAAGATAATAATTAAAATGATATATTCATGAATTACCCATAAAAAAAAGTCCGAAATCTCGGAGGAATTCGAATTTCCAAATGAGGCCTTACTTTACATTGTTACAAACCACGTAACGGGAGATTGAGAGTTCGGGCGTGCTCGAGTAATAATACCTTTGGCACTAGCACTGGTAGTAGTACGAGTCGTCCTCGTCGGCGGCGGCTCCTTCGCTGATGAACCGGTGATCTTTGCAGCCGCAAGATTGCTCTCGGAAAGATACGTCTTGATATCGACCGCCGCGTCGTGAACAATTGCCTCCAGGCCCATGGGAATAGGAAGCCGTTCCTCGCCTGGCCGCACGATGAAATCCTGGGATACGTGGCTTACATCGACGACGGGTCTGCACGCTGCGTCGGTGAAGTCGGTCGAAAATCGTGAAACCTCCATTAAAACTGAATTTATTATATTTTTATAGTAATATATTTAGAGGTATATAATATTAATATTTTTGATATAAATTTACTAAACTTAAAATTGTTGGCTCTTCTGAATGCTGAGAGGTATAATTATTTTAGGAGAGAGGGAGGAATAAAAGTTTTCTTAGAGTAAGTATAATAATAGGTTGTAAGCAGGCTGAATACTAAGTTGGAGGAGAAAGGAGAGGACAAAGAGGAGAACAGCTGGCTTGGACACGAGAAAAAAAAACACCGCTAAGGTTGAAACAATCGTATATGATCATAGATTATTATTGTTGACTGATTTAGTGTAAAAGAAACGTTTTGGACAAGCAAACAGGCCGAATAAAGATATAACAACTAAAAGAATGGGGTAAGAGGTGCTGAGAGGATTTATAGAATCAGCCGTGCTATATTATTAGCCATACTTTTACACGGAGTAAAAAAAAGGTATGACTCATGAACTGATTTGATTTGTCACTGGCAGGATTACAGAGCCCGAGAAGGCTGCCATTGAGTGCGTCGATGCAAAAAAAAAAAAAAAAAAAACATGCGAAGAGTGTAGGCGTGCTTTAGTTCAAAAATTTTCACCCCAAACTACCCTATTGAATCTTACGATATATGCATTGAGTATTAAATATAGACGAAAAAAAACTAATTACACAATTTGGTTGGAAATCGCGAGACGAATGTTTTAAGACTAATTAGTCCATGATTAGTCATAAGTGTTACAGTAAGTAACATACGCTAATGATAGATTAATTAGGCTTAATAAATTTATCTCGTAGTTTCCAGACGAGCCATGTAATTAGTTTTTTTATTAGTATCAAAAACCCCTTCCAATATCCTAAAACATCCGATGTGACGTCCAAAAACTTTTATTTCACGAACTAAACACAGCCGTAGTCGCATGCTCATAAAAAAAATTACACTAGTCAAACAAGTTTTAAATTTAATCAGATTTATATAAATAATGTTAACAACTATGTCTCTAAATATGTTTTGTAATTAATCTAATAGTATTTTTATTGTAAGTAATATTTTTTTTATTATTTAGAGGGTGTTTAGCACTGTTTTGCTCCTGTTTTTCCAGATCCACTCTAGGTTCACGTTGCCAAACATTCACCAGCTCCAGAAACTCCGCTTCAAAATAAAAAAAGGTGGAGCGAGAGGCTAACTCCGTATTTTTCCTGAAGCACCTTTAGAGGTTCTTCAGTTTTTTGAGTTCTGTACTCCCACGTGAAGTTATGGATAATCACCCCAATTACCACTCGTTAATCAACCCATCCACTGGACCATTTTATTTTTCTCTGTCTTCCGTGAGGAGTTGTGCTGCTATTCTGTTCGCTTGTTTTGGTTTCAGTTGTTTTTTCAAGAGAATACAACTACAGTTTTTCCTCAACGGCAAGCAACAGCAGGCCGACAATTGCAGCTTGATCAAGTGCTCGTTGTTTTTTTTATTAGTACTCATGTTGTTCATCTTTGCTGCAAGCAGTTATTGCGGCTAGACCATTTTATTTTTCTCTATTAATGTTCTATCATTTGTTTTCTATTCTTGTCAGAAAATATCAAGTGCAATTTGAATCAGGGCATAATGGACTATTTGCATTGGAGTTAGAGTAGAGTTGTATGCCAAACAGTACAACTTGCTCCACAAACTCTACGGTGCTGCTCCGTTGTAGAGATCGTGGAGCAGAGCTAGAAAAACATGAGCGAAACAGTGCCAAACACATAAAGTATAAATCATTCACTCAAAAAGTAAGAATTGCTAGTTTCTCTAAACAAAAAGGCAAGAAAAATCATATGGCTTGGACTTTAACCATAAAGCGGCTTCAACTTTCTTTTGTTTTAGTTCTGGCTTCATCGTTCTCGTGTGTGTTTGTTTGATAGTACTTTTAATCAAACGGATAAAAAAATCTCAACAAAAAGTGCTGCGAAAGGAACCTACAGTGAAAGATGGTCCTCGAACGTTTATGGATGTTTGGGACGGCTACACAAACTCTACCGTGGACTAACTTCACAAAATACTAGAGTTTATAGAGCATCTTTTTAGGTGTTTTCACAACTCAACCATTTTTTCTCAAACAGAGTGCGTAGAGCTAAAACCGTTTAACTAAAAAATATAGAAACGTAGAGCGAATCAGTCTCAAACACTCCTAAGCCTCTATCTCACAAGCCAGAAACGAAGCCAACAGTATTCATTCGTCGTAGGTAAAACATTTTTAAATTTATATATAAAAGTATTGATTTATACTATGCAATAAATGTTAGTATATTATTAATTATGGAATATAAATTTATAATTAACTTATTTGAATATATAAATATTGATATTATTTTTGTCTTATCAAATTTGAAAGAGTTTAATTTCTAAAAAATAGCACAATAGATACTTCCTCTGGTTTAAAATAAGTGTCCATCTCACATTTTAAAAAGTCGAAAATCTCATTTTAACTAAACTTATAGAAAATTATATCAATATTTATATTTGTAAATATGTTTATATTATAAAAATATATGATATGATTTACCTAATAATATTCGTATTTAATATAGTTTTGGTATATATTTAGTGAAATTTAAAAAAAATTGACTTTTTAAAATACAAGATGTGTACTTATTTTGGGAGTGAAACAGTATTTACTTATTAATTAGTTTTAGAAGTGAGGAAGTACTCCTAGCTTCAATAAATAGGTCCATTCTTCTAAGAGAGCTAGGCCCGGTTTAGTTCTCAAAAATTTTCACCCTAAATTATCACATCGAATTTTGCGGCATATGTATAGAGTACTAAATGTAGACGAAAAAAAAACTAATTACATAGTTGGGTGAGAAATCGTGAGACGAAACTTTCAAACCTAATTAGTCCATAATTAGACACTAATTGTCAAGTACAAACGAAAATATTTAGGTAAAACCAAGAAATTTCGCCAGACAAAGGAGAGATAAAAAGGAGAAAGAGCAGAAGTAAACTCTAGGCGTAAGAACCGAGACAGTCTTTGAGAGATACAAGCGGATCACCTGCTGTACTAGTGCGCTGAGAGCACCTAGCAGCCCTCAGCGCACCTAGCAGCCCCTTTGCGTTGGGACCCAACACGGCTCGGTCTAGAGAACCTCGCCACGTCCGCTGTTCCTCTTCGTTCCTGCAGCTTGGTCGTCATTCGTCCATCTAATCGGCGTTACACCTTCGAGTCGAGCGAGAACGCGAAGCGCCTCGCCGATCGCCGCTCCCCACCAACACCAACCTCGGCCACCCGCGCAAGTGCACCATGCCTTCCTCCTCCACCTCCCATTCCTCGTCCTCCGTCCAAATCGATGATCCCAACCCGGCGAGCGCCCCGGACACCACCGCCGACTCCAGCGACCGCGACAATGACGGCGGTGGTGGTGGAAACGGGCGCTCGTGGTCCGCGACGGAGCGCGTTGCCTCGTACCTCCGGAGCCAGAAATCGGTCCACGCCCTCTGCGAGAAGCTCGGCGTCAACACCAAGGCGTTCACCCCGATCTCCGCCGGCGACCGACGCGCGTGCTCGCCTCCACCCGCGGGCTCCGTCTGCGTGTACGCGGACGCGCTGGAGGCCGGGATGCGCGTCCCGCTCGACCCCTTCTTCTGCGAGGTGCTCTCGCACTTCGGCGTCGCCCCGAGCCAGCTCGCGCCCAACTGCTGGCGCATCTTGGCGGCATTCCTCGCGCTCTCCCGCGCCGCCGGCGTGCAGCCGCCGTCGGTGCCCGTGTTCCTGCACTTCTTCTCGCTGCGCATGCTGAAGGTTAAGGGCCTCTACTGTTTCGCGCCGAAGGACACAGCCGGTGTGCTCTTCACGGGGCTGCCGGATAAAATCAAGGGATGGAAGGGGGGCTTTTTCTTCCTGAAGTCGTCGGCGCCGTGGCCGTGCCCCGTGCTCTGGGGCGAGCCGACCAAGAAATCCACTGATGATCCTGTGCTCACCAAAGAGGAGAAGAGCGCGGTGGCGAAGCTGCTGCGTGCGCGCGGCGCCGCGCCGATTGATGTCCTGCTCCTGACTTACCTCAGCGAGGGCGATTCGGCTGCGGCAACGATGACCGCTCGTGCGCCAAAACCACCTACACCATCGCCTTTAGATCGTACTACTGGTGGCAAAGGTAAAATGTCGTACACCATCCTTGAGCTTTGAGCTTGACTACCGGTGGAGCAAATGACTCACTGCTGTGTCACTGTGAGCTAGGAATGGATCCATCAACCTATGCCATGATGCAGAACATGCGGGCAGAGAAGGCGGCCGCCGAGGCGGCGGCAGCAGCGACGGTCGCTGCGAAGAGTTATTCCGGCTGCAGCGCCCCGCCGGGCTGGACACCGTCGTTCGGGAAGAAGAGGGCGGCGGAGGACAACACAAAGGAGGCCACTGGTCACGGGTCGGCTTCTGTCGCGCCCGGCTTCTGTACGCGCCAAAAACGAAAGCTGCAGCACGCACCGGACAGACATGACGGCGACACGATCGAGTGGGAGGCGGCGCAGCAGCTTCTGCAGGGCGTCGTCACGCCGGCGCGGGAGCGCGCATTCTTGGTGGCGGATCCCTTCTCCGTCATCGCGACAAGCTACGTCGCAACGCTCCAGGTCCGATCCTGAATCCTGATAGCATATATGGCGGCGCATCGCGGCATGCGTGCACGTACTAATGTCGCTCGTGGCGTCGGCGCGCAATGCAGGCGGCGAACTACGCGACGTTCTCGTTGGATCACGCGCTGAAGCTCCAGGAGGAGCTGGAGAAAGCCAAGGCCGAGCTCGCCGAGGTGAAGAAGGCGACTGCGGCCGAGGTGAAGAGCGCCAAGGCGGCGGCAGTGCAGGAGTTCTTGGGCTCCGAGGAGCACGAGCGCCGGCTGGTGGAGGAGGCGCTCAAG